AATTCATAAAAATAAAAATATAGATTTATGTATTTATTGAATTACTAAGTATTAAAATCATTATACAATGTTATTTTTAAGAATGTGCTTTAAATTAAAGAGGCAACGCAGAAAAACGTACGTTTTATAGTGAATAATAGCAACTATTATTACAGTGCGGCCAAAAATATTACCGTTTAGTTTTGGCGATACACCTAGTAGTGCTGGTAATTCTGTACAAGTTGCATGCACAGTAACAGAAGGCGATAAGCCTTTGCGTATAAGTTGGAATTTTTATGGAGAAGAATTATCATCAGACATGGGAGTTAGTACTATGGCTGTTGGGGATTCAATGAATGCTTTATTTATATCATCTGTAGCCCCTTCAAATCGTGGAAATTATACATGTGTTGCAAAAAATCTTGCAGGATATGATTCTTATACGTCACAACTTTTTGTCAATGGTATCAATTAACTTATATATAATTTTTTATCTATGTGATTCATTTGCAACTATCCTTATCCAAGAATATCCAACTGTTACAGTAAAAAATAAATTTTCTTTCAGTTAAGTTACCAAGATTAATAGTTATTTTTTTTAATATAAGTATATCAAATAATACAATTATAGTATAATTAAAAAGTCTCAGAAATTTATAAAACAATTTTTAATAAATTAAAATAATTTTGTAGTACGACCAAAAATATTACCTTTTTCTTTTGGTGACACTCCAAGTAATGCTGGAAATACCGTGCAAGTTCCATGTACTGTAACGGAAGGTGATAAACCTTTACGTATTAGTTGGAACATTCATGGTGAAGAATTATCATCAAATATGGGCGTTACAACTATGCCTTTTGGTGACTCAATGAATGTTTTATTAATATCATCTGTAGCACAATCAAATCGAGGATATTATACATGCTTAGCTAAAAATTCTGCAGGACATGACTCTTATACGGCTCAACTTTTAGTTAATGGTACCCGATAAACAGTGAAATTAACGTAGCTAGATTTATTGCAACTGTTCTTTATCCTGATTATATCCAAATTACTTTCAAACAATTCCAAAAACTTCATTGCCTAGAAATTTAACCTAATATAAACTTCCTGTGTTGGTACATTTTGATAAATTTTATTGATCAAAATCGTTTTAAACTTAAGTTAGAAGTTTTATCCTCGGATCAAATTGTAATATTAGGTTAGTTTTACCTAAGTAGTAGTTTAATGAATTAAGTGAAAAATGAATACTAATTATATAATATAAATACTATATTAATTGAAAAAAAATTATTTTAATTAAAAACGTCTAATCTACAATTTATAACTTAAATAATGATTAGAAAACAAAATTAACTTTTAATATTTCATGTATAAAAGTTATCTCAACT